CTTTTATCTTTATTATTTCCAATATTAGTATTATGGTTTTGATTGATTAATGAAAGAGTGGTTTTAGTGGTATCAAGTTGTAGATCCTAGTTTTATTTTTCTTTAATTGTTTCAAGTCAATTTATTCTAACGGACTACTTGTAAGTGGTCTAGCCGGAAAAGAAAAAGAAAAAGAGAAGAAAAAAAGAAAAAAGAAAAATAAAATTAGACCCCTAACAAATAAGTCCATTACAATGGACTATTCTTTTAGTTAGGCCACTTACAAACAGTCCATTACAATAAATTGACTTGAAACAAATAAGGAAAAATAAAAGTGGGATTTAAAACTTGATACCACTAAAACCACTCTTTCATTAATCAATCAAAACCACAATACTAAGTTTGAAAATAGCAAAAAATAAATGCGATAAGTATGACAAGAAACAAGAAATACAATGTCGGAGATTACCTCAATTGGGCTTAATACACTCCATACCAAATCACCACCTCCAATGGCGCTGGATCAATGGTCAACCTCAATCTCCAAGATGGGAAAGCATATGAGCCAAACCTCCAATGGAACAAGAACTCTTATCACAAGGCTTAGATCTCAAAATTGAGGTTTACCCCATGATCACCTAGATGAAAGAGATGAGCTTCTCAATACTAAACCCTTAAGCCATGAGAGAGATAGAAGAAGGGAGAGAGAGTATCATAACCTAAACTAGGTTTAGGTGGGGCATGCCCCTTCAATGGGATGAGAGAGAGCAACTCTAGGTGGGGCGTGCCCCTCTATGAGAGATGTGAGAGGGAGAGAAGAGAGATCTGTGTTTTAAATGGGTAGAGTGCACCTCTTTAGATAGTGTTTCAATAAGGCTAGGATTTCTATATTGTTTGCCACTTTAATGAGATTGAATTTGCACCATTGATCTTAGGTGACTTATGGGGTGAGAGATATGAGCCACCCATTTTATAGATTAACCATCAAGATCTTATGGAAGGTGCTAGAACCTGTATCCCCCATTTCTTAAACCAATTTCCCATCAATAAATTAATTATGAAAGTAATCAATTGTAATATTGTACATTCTAATTTTATGCACAAGCTTCTTCATACTTTCCATATTTGATTTCAAAACCTTCATAAAATCAAACCTTTAAAATAACTCAATTTCTTTAAGCCTCAAGTTCTACTTGCTTGAGGATTCCAAAATAAAAAGTACACAAGGGTGGGGCGTGCCACCCTAGGTGGGCTCCCATGGGCCCACCAACTTGCTATGGTGGGCTTGTGTACTAATGGGCCACCATGCAACAATAAAATATTTTAAAATTAAAATAATGATTTTTAGAAACTATTAATTCCATTTGAATATTTAAAACAATGAAAATTCAATATCTCTGGTTTATAAATCCAAATTACATAAATAAAATACCTAGAGATTCTGAAAAATTCAAACAATAATTCTAAAAATCAAATATCATTAAAACAATTATAATTAAATACTTTTGATAGGAATTAGATCCATATGGTATAGGAATAATTAAAATTCTGGAGCACTCCACCTTCTACTGTGGACCACGGTCCACACTTGCTTTCTCAAACTAACCCAGTGGATCCTATATTCCACAATCTATCGTAGGGGCTCATGATTGGGCCACCAAAGTCAGCCAATGGGCAAGGGGACGTAATCCTAGTATGTGGATTTCAGGTTCTCCCCTAAAGACGAACCAATGTCGCTTAGACTTGATGCAACCGCAACTCTATGGTGCATAGGGATAATCACATGGATATGCTTCACCCTGAAAGGTGGTTCGTTTTTCCAATACGGCTATCATATGTACATGCTATGTGGTGGTACAGGGATAAGGCTTTGACTACCGTTTCTGAGGGCCACCATCACACACAAGGGTCACACAGTCCCTCGGCTCACTCATCCAGGCATACATATATGCACATGCTAACTGCCCTTTCTTTTGTGATAATATATCTGTGCTCTCCATTTATCACGAATTTCGTAAACCTGGCCTTTATGGCTTAATGTAGCTACTGTTTTCTTTGTAGTGAACATTTTAAAAGCATTTGAAGTTCAATATGGACCTAGAAAGAAAAATTTTGTTATTTTTTCAGTTTGTAAGCTATAGGTGATTTGATTTGAAATTGTTGAATCTGTTGCCAATTAAGTGCTTGTTATTATTGTAGAAGATTGTAGCAATGAAACATATTAGAAGCCTTTCCATATCCTGAATTAACTTATTGGTTCACTCTTGTATGTTTCTTCATAATTTAAAATTGAGGGTCTGTCCAATGTTTTTCTCGTTAACCAAAGCACTCTGGTGCGCTCTCTCATTCATCTATTCACCTATGCTATAACATAATATCTTTGATACTATCCAGCTCTTCTTTTGGTGTGTTTTCTCTTTCTCCTGTAAGAGGTAGTTGAAATCGAAGAATATGATACATGTATTGTTATACATTTTGTCAATGGATATCAGCATCATTTAGCCATTTTTTAACTGCTATTTCTCAGGATACAGGATATCCAGGATTTAGTTCATTCCACAATGAGTGAGGTATTTGAAGGATATGAGCGCCAATATTGTGAGCTTTCAGCAAATCTCTCTAGAAAGTGTACATCTGCTAGTCATCTCGATGGAGGTCAGGATTCTCTCTTTTTGTAATCATTATGTCTTCATCGATTAGAATGATCATCTGGTCTTTTAACTGGTCTTTTGTTGAAATTTTCGTACCATTTAATATATATGTTATTTTTTTGCTTTTAATGTTGGCTGATCAGAAGTTATGTCTGCTGAGGATTGGCTTACTTCACTAGTGAACTGGTTATATTCCAGATTGATTCTCCTAAAATGTATTTGTTGTATGGCCGGTTCGTTTGTTTTATTTATTGTTAGTTTCCAAATCCATCTTGGATCAGTATTGCCAATTGTTGGACACACATGCCAGCCGAGCTGAAATCCCTGGTTCCAATAATTGCATTATTAGCCAAATGGGCTGTCTCTCTTGCAGATAACGGTTGATTTATTGTAAATCAAGAAAAAGGTGGGAGTTCTAGTTTAGAGTGGAGCTTGTACCCTTGTTTGAATGCAACTTACATTTTGGTCAATGTGCTTGGCAGTGGGGTGAAAAATGGTATTCTCGGCTTTCATCTCACTCACTAAAAAGCAGCATTTTCCCCATTCTTTTTTAGCGTGTTGGAACCTTCTTAAGGTTCTAAAGGGCAATTAAAGGATTCACTTAAACATGATTTCACTGTCATGTAAATGCTGCCCAAGAGTGTCGAACCCTGGTTTGTGTGATGTGCTAATCAACCGTATATCTGTGATGGTTACTGTCGATCAGATTTATTGTTTACCATAGAAATAGTTCTATGTGGTACATTTAAAATACAATTTGTAGCTCTTTTCCTTCATACTACACATTAGCATTCACAATAGGGCATGTAAAGGGGTGGCATATAACTCAATGCACCAAACTCCTCTAGCAAAGAGCAAACCATCATTTCTGTAGTTTTGCTCTTGTTCTTAGAAGCGCTAATTACCTTGTAATCAGGGCCAACTTGTAGATATCAACGCCATGCTGAACATCTAATTATTTGAAGGATAAATGTGAAACTTTATTGCATTGTCATATTTGAAGTTTATTGTCTGCCTGTAAATCATTACCTTTCAACAAACTCAGAGGAAAATTTCCCATGTTTGTTGTTTATAGATATACATTCTTGTTAGAAGTGCAGTTTTTAAGCAATGACATTGTTGCCATTAAAACACATGCTGTGCATATGTAGATACATTTCGCCTGTGATTAGAATTTAGAGACTAAGAGAAAATTTAATATGTTTGGTGTGTACAGATATATTTTCTTTTAAAAATTGTCATGTTGTTTGGGTTTTGCAATGACATTGTTGGCATTAATACTAGGTTTTAGAACTCGTCCAAGTTAGTAGCATTTGCTCCTACTTTTAGAAATTCTATACTTGGAAGACTTTCTATATCAAACTGCTGTTTTTTGGAGCTTTGGCTACTAACTCTTTGGCCCTGATGATCAGCACTGCCTGAAGCAGCCATTGCTTATTACAGTATTTAACTGAACTGCATTTGTATTATTCTTGCATTTTGTATTTTGTTCGGAACTTCAACTCATGGATCATGAAATGGTGGAAATAGTTTCCTGTATTTTATACTACTTGTGAATTTCCACGGTCTTCATTTTTTTCTATATTGATGGGCTAGTGGGATGAGTTTACGACTCTATCATTGCTTCCAAAATTTGCAGAACAAAAGAAGCAGAGAATTTCTGAAATAAAAACTGGGCTAGATGAAGCTGAGGCTTTGGTATGTGTATTTAGATGCTCAGATTGTTTGTTTTTGTGAAGAGACGTATGAACAGATAATAGTGTTCTTTTGGCTTTCTTGTTTCAGATTCGGAAGATGGACCTTGAGGCTAGAAGTTTGCAGCCAAGTGTAAAGGCCATACTTCTTGCCAAGTTAAGGGAGTATAAATCTGATTTGAACAATTTGAAAAGTGAAATTAAAAGGATTTCATCAGCCAATGTAGGTCAGGCTGCAAGAGATGAGTTGTTGGAGTCAGGAATGGCAGATACGCTAATGGTAAGGTGTCAATACTCTATCTTCAGTTCTTAGTTTTTGCTGTGAACAATCCATCTCAACTATAAGACCTATAGTTGAGTTTCTTGAATAGTTTGACCAATAAAAAGGTTTCTTTTTAAGTCAATAAAATTCATGCTGCAATATGGTGCTTGTCATTGTTCAAGAAGGCGGATTCGGTCGCCTAGGTGGCCACGGGTCCTAGCCACCTAGGCAATTTGGTGGCTGCCTAGGCGGGCCTCAGATACCTTGCCGGCTGGCTCTAGAGAGAGAGAGAGAGAGAGAGAGAGAGTAGTTCATGTA